GTCCAAAAGTGGGAATATCGAGACTTGTAAGTAGATGGGAACGCGAACGAGGTTGTTCAACCCTAAGGCTAGGCGCGCACGTAGGGTGACGAGGTGCTGGTTAGGTCGCAATAGTGCGAAGAATGCTTAGGGATCATTGCGATGTAGTTTTCTATTCCATCTATGTTGTATTGCAATTACTGTTGCGATCATTTTCCTGCCATTTTTAGGTTCAACAGTGGCCATCGATGATCGGTGTTTAATAACACAAGGGACAGAGACGACCACGACTCAACGAATTAATATTCACAGATAACAAACAGAATATGGTAGAATAGTAAATCTGATAAAATTTCAGTTCGAGCTGGATCTAACGTGACCCTAAGAGTTGCGATAATTATATGGCTAAAGGAATGAGAATACAAACCGAAGGAACAACTATTTCCGGTTGTGGTGGCTCGATGCATGTAATTTGAAAAAGTGTTGTTTCTAATTGCCGGTTGTCGACGAAGAGGTATGATTTCCGTAATTGAAGGGTTGCTATCTAAGTTGACGTTCGAAAATGAATTTAACTGCTGACGCAGCGAACGAGTCGAGGAGTACCTACTCTGCGATTACCGATTTCGGAAGAGCTTGTTCGAGCACATTTTAATTTAGGTAGCATTCAACCGCACGCGTAACAGAGAAGAACGAAAATATTTAAAGAAGGAACCCCTTCCAAGGGAACGATAAATTTTTCTTCGGGCCACCCAGTTGGAAAAGTAGTTCAATGTGTCTCGGATCATTGCCAGACGCGACAGCAATAAGTGTCACCTGGAATGGCGGTCACATCAAAGCACCACTCGCGTTCTTCGTTGGCGTGAAGTCGCGAGCTGAAGATACGCGGACGCGCCCAATGGGAACGCGTCTGTATGCACACGTCTCTGCTACGTCTCTTAATGGTTCTTCCACAATTGCTCGTTTCGATGTCGCCTGAATTTACCTTCATTACCGTCCACGATTCCATGGTCCCTCTATTCTAGTAGAAACAACTGAAGGGATGCTCTTCTATTTTTGATTAAAAAATGAGCGTTTCTTTTTAATATTCTTTACGCTTGAGGTCTTTAAAATATTTCTATCAGGCTGGTAGAACAAGAAACTGTAAGAGTTTTTTTTCGGGTCAAAAACAAAAACAATTGATTTGTTCTAAAATAATGTTTCGTAATCCAAGTAACGCCATCCAAGCCTGCATACCATTAGGAAGCATTCTTTATAGAATTCTGGTTTTATCAGCGTACGCTTGACGCCTTTGTACGCGGTTTATACTTCATATTTTTATTTCACAGTCGGACTTCTATAAAGGGTAAGCACTTTATTGTCCGACGTTATCAGTTGCACTTGTTAAGACGCAGATACACAGGCTCGCCTTTAAAATGCTCGACGATCAAGGCAGCGCACAGTCATCGAATCGCACCAATTATTCGAACCAATTCTAGTAATAATATTTTCGGAAACGTCTACTTCGTCTATCAATATTTTATCTTGCTTAGAACTCTAAGCCCTAATCACGCAGGCCCTAAGGCCTAATTACCCTTTCGCAATTAGTCACGAAATGAGTCAAACGGTTATCTCCGACTTCGATCTTATATCTCGATAGCGAAATACAAATATCGTTGTATCGAACGACTCGCGTCAATTTATCAGTACTGGAAGATCCAATTAGAAGAATCAATACCTCTTCGTCTGTGCCTGTAGATATATGATTTCGCCGCGGATGTTTATGCACTTTCGATAAATGAAAATATGGGAAAATATAGGATAAATGCAAACCTACGCAAAATATCAAGAATAAAATGGAGGTTGCTCTGGTTAGATGATAAGACGTACTTATATTTAAATCTCAATTCTTCAAACATCCACAGTCTAACGATATTTCTTCTTTTCTAATAAAATTTAAAACTGAATAAATTTAACATGGCGTCCCATGTTTCGACTACCATAGTTACGTACACAACAGTAATTGATTTTACCTCGACAGAAGAGACGGATGCAGATTAGACGATTAGAGGACTCGCGACGCTGTGAACGACGCTTAATCGAGGGTCCACGGAAAGGCACCACGAGCAGTTCGCTGGCATAATGGGCATAGGACGAACCCGAGAAGAATCGTGGACTAAAGCCGCACCTTGTGCCGGCCACATAAGTATGCGACGTGCACACGTTATAATGCTACGCCCGCAAACGTACGAGGGAACTAAGGTTTTATTGCGACCACCGTAGCTCTGCTTTCACCGACCGATCTTCCACCCTCGTTGCGTTCACCTGGCCGATTCGAGCCACGAATTCGTCGAGTGTCGTGACAGTGTTGCGACAAACGAATCCATTAATGAGACAGGCTAGAGCAACGGTAAACCCCTCTTTGGAGGGAATTAACACTGGGAATCTGACTTCTCTTCATACGTGGGTGGAAGAGAATAATTGGGAAGGGGGACATTTTTTAGATGTTTTGGTTAGCTTGAAAGAAATGGTAAGAATTTCTTAAATAGGCTCGTAACGATTCACATTTAATCAGAGAACGATCGAGCGAAATTTTGTTAAAATCTTTCGTTGAATAAATCCACGGAACAACTATAATCGTGTCAGGCGCGTTGAATTCGATTATGTAATTTACATTAAAATTTTGGCATAGCCTTGTAATGATTCGTATTAAATCGAAGAGAACTCGATCGAAGTTTTGTTCAAATCCACGGAACAACCTACCGTAATCGGACTGTGGCGTGTTGAATTTGATTATGTCATTTACGGCTTGTATCTCGCGGCCGATTAGCGAATCCATCGGATGCAACGTGTTCTCGTGCCATGCCTGCTTCTACAAGGAAATCGCACGGAAACCGTGTTTGCCGAGAGATTCATGTACACGTATATGTCGAAATGCGAAGATCCCGTCCGCACACGCGAAAATAACGTGACGCTAGGAGGTGTGTAACACGAGAAACCGAAGGCAAACAGCATCGCCGAGCCACTGAATTACCTTCGAACCTGACTCGAAGTAACGTGCAGACATTCGATAAATTTCAAATTTTTACTTCGACAGACCAACGTGGAATTTGGTATCTTAAAAAGGACATTTGACCGGCTTCGTTATTTTTTCGAAGGTAGCGGAATATTTCAAATGTATCGTATTTTTTCAATTAACCATGGGCTCCTCTTCCATTCAATTTCGTGGTTGTAATTGAAAATATTGTTTCTTCATTTTACTTACGCTTTTGATTTATTAATCACTCCTATTTCAACGAAAGGGTCCATATATTTAAATATTTCGTACTTTTATCTCGTACGTTTCATTTCAACAATTGCCTCGCTTCGAATGACTCAACCGCAATTGTTAACCAACCAAAACTTGATGACACACGAATGCAATCGTCACAAGAGTAATCTGTATCTTTATAGTCGAACGTCCTTGGTATTTCTCAGCGTTGAGCGTGCCGATCATTCGTCAGACGCGGCCATTGATAAAAGGCGTTCTTCACAGAAAAGAATGAAAATCCAAATTAAACGTCGCGCGATATCCGAGTTGTCACTCCGATGGTATCTGAGAGGTCTAACAAAAGCGTTTCTTCGATCAGCAAACAGAAGACACACCTGGGGCCTCTTATCTTTCTTCGGGGACGCTTCGGGGAAATTTGCATACCGAAATCTCAGATGATGGTGTCAACGCCTACGTACAATTTATGCACAAAATTTCGTGATTCCTGCACAGAATTCGACGGTATCCTCAAATTGACCACACCAGTGTCACGAAAAAAACGGCATAAAAATTTAATTATTTTAAAACATACAGACTTTGCATAAATTTTGTTCGAATTTTAAATCAAAATGCAATGAGGCAACTTGATGAAAATTTCATGCGTTGTAAAAACTGAAATTACGAACCTTTAAAAAAAAAAGAAAAGAGCACCCAAAATCTATTTCGACGCGTCGTTGCACGTCGCGATAAGTCCTGTGTCTCTTGTATTCGTCGGCGAGTTCCAGTGAAAATTTCGGCGCAACTCAAAAGCTGAAGTCAAACATGGGCGTGTTTCACGAGGTGTCTCGGTAAATCCGGTAAAGCGCCGAAGGCAAATCCCTCTTCTGTCAGCGGCGCGCGACAAGCTGAATGCGAGGCGTTATACAGTGAGCGTAAAAAGTATTCTCGACGGTGACAAATGGCAAATAAAAGATACGCGGCACGTTTCAGAGCGGTTAATTGGCCGATTCTGGGTAAATTGGAAGATCTAGGGCCGACGTTTTACCATCTGTTTGTTTTACTTACAACTTCTTCATTTTAAGTAGTTTGAACAAATCCGCGTTTCCTTTCGAACCTGAGGAATAAAGACGACGAATGATACCACGTGTTTGTTTACAGGAAATTTCCGAACATTCTCGTGCACTTTCATTATCGTTTAACGAAACTTCGAGAATGGCACTCGTGACAAGTTAGTACCAAGCTGAGAATAGTTTTGCAAACGTATATTTTATATTTATATAAAATGTAATTATCCTTGTCGTATTGTTATAGTCATTTCTGACGATTGTCGTTCTAATCATCGCCACTTCATAAAGTAAGTACAGAATACTGATTTTCCCGATTTCAGTTTGTTGAATCAGCTTAGTTTTCGCGGGAACTGGCTTACCAACTGCTCGTAAAGTATTCTTTTCCTTCACCAGCTGTTGGCAATGCAGGAAACTTTATTAATCGTTTACCAACTGCCCATCAGAACGCTGCCTTCCTTACTCGATGTTGGTTATGTAGAAAACATGGTCGTTCACTGCTGATACCATAGACATTCTATTATCTGCCGATACTATCGGTTCAATGACTTACCTACCGATGAAAATGTGCTGGCGTATCGTATACTTACAGTTAATAACGTCGAAAACTTGATCGATGCTATCAAATCAATAAAAATAAATAAATTAATATTTATTTAACGATATAAGCCCCGTTACAAGCAGCAATACTGGCATCATTAATTACGATTAAACTTAAGTAGACGTACGAGTGCTTCTAATATCTTTTATTTCATTTTTCTTAATATAATTTACAAACTCGCTTAACTCTCCTATATATCTAAAAATATAGATGCTCGTGCAAGACGTAAACTGATAACGTATAAAATAACAGGACACTTGAATCGTCCGCGAATTTGTAATTGATCCCGCGGACGACGTTCGTTGTACATAGTATATTGTACATTTTCCATATATCACTATACATTAGGTATGTTTAAAAATAGTACAAAATATTTTAATTTCCTTTGTCTTCCACTCTAGCTACACTTCGCTCTACCGTTACTTTCGCACGCATACAAGGAATTTCATTCGATGAACTTCCTAAAAATTAATTGCAAATGGTGTCGTCGAAAGTACAAATATATATGTATATAGCAAATATGGGCTGAACGGGAATAGTTTATTTAATATTAAATACGCAAATGTAAGGGATTCGAATCTAGACCTCATCCAGACCTCCTGTCTACAACTTTTTAAATAACAACTCTTTCCTCGTATAAAAAATCACGAAACTCTCTCAGTGGTAAACAAATATGTTCCTAAAATGGTCGATACGGAATTCTTTGCATTTCCTCTGAAAATAAATCGCGAGCACTCTCCATGGTTACATCCCTCCAAGAAGAAGCTGGTCGACGAAAATATTAACGTTAAACGAACTAAGCCCGATCAGTCCACGTTAATTACAACATGTCCCGTCACGAAAGGTCACGAAAAACATTTCTCGGGATGAACACGCTCCCGCATGAAAGGGTTCGACGTCGAACCAGCGTGAAACGAGGCGTGGAACGAGTCCGACTCACGAATTCCAAGAGGTCCGTCCCCTCGTCCCCTCGAGATCCAACCGAAAGAAAACGCGTTTCGGGTTGGCAGTAAAACCGTGGAGGATCGTTGCGGTTAGGTGCATCCCGGGTCACAAAAGAACCCGTAATGATCCTCGCCGGCCGAACAACAGAAGAAAAAGGAGAGGACACGGGCGTTGGTCTAGAGTCGGGGATATATATTTTTAGAAGGGAGCAGGTACCACCGAAAAACCAAGTAGCTTCGACACCCTATTGCACCTGTCACCCGTGGCAACGGTGGCACAGGTTGCTCCCGTGGCCACGAAATTTGCATTACCCCCTCCTGGAAACCCCGTGGACAAAGGAGCCATTCCCCGTGGACCTTCTTTTTCGACCAACTCGACGTGCTCGTCTACTCTTTCCCGTGGGACCTCTTAAAGATCTCACCTCCGCTATGAAAATTCACGCGTCATCCTCTCTATTTCAGCGACGATCTATATATTCGCGACATCATTCAAATACGCGTTCATTCAACGTCGTTCGCTACCACGTGTCACTGGTGTTGTTAATCGCGTTAGGAATAAATTAATTTAATTTACATCGTGGCTCCTGGTCAACTCGGACATCAATTATAACGCTAGGTAACAATTTAAATTCTTGGAATACTAACTTTTTTGTGGTGGATGATACTAAGCCAGAATTTTCTCTGATACTCTTATTCGTAGGGTGAAAACAACCCTCGAAATTCAGAATGAAGTACCACGATATTAATCGAGTTATATTTTTTTTAAACTAACAGTCATCGCTCTTCAGGATGCGATGGTAGCGAACGTGTTGCAGCAGGGTGTCCCAAATGCACCGCTCAAGACAATCGGAGGATCAATCGATCAACCAAAACGTTGGAATCTAAAACGAAAAATTTTACATTCGAGAGAATCTTCTTGATCTCATATTCGGATAACTTTTGAAATTCTAAATCCTCCGAACTATGTCGAACGGTACGCGCTAATTACACTCGGACAGAATTTTTTTTTTTTTTTTTTTTTAGAACGGGCGTTTAACTGGTTTTGTTTTTCTTATTTCTACGTTAACCCTGGGACACTCGTGCAAAATAGAAATTCGAAGATTGCACAGATTTTTAACTTATAAACGCAGTCCGCCACGCATGATCCGACGGTCACGAAATTGTTCGTTCACGCGCGACTCGTGAAATAAAATTTAGTATTCCAGCGTCGACTGAATTTCAACGTATACTTCTATATACACAATTACGCACGCAACGCGTTAACATAATCTTCGTCGAGGTTCATGGATTCGACTGTCTACATTGTACTTTTCCCATCCTCTCCCATGCGGTATCATGGCCAGAGATTATCGTCGAGCAACAATTTAAATTGTTTTCGCAAATCAATCCTCTATGGACCGAGTGTGTCTTTTCTGCGGACAACGAGCGAGACGTTTACTTTGATATTTCAGGTTGACGGTGCCGATTGTTGAAATGAATTCAACAAATTACCAAATCTACTTTGAACCGTGCCTAAAATATTCTCAAAGTTGTACAAAAATTAGGGAAGTTTCTCTATGAAAAAAATCATCACTAAAAACAATTAATAGTTGAAGGCCTGAAAGTCACGTGGGCTCGTAGAGGGTTAAAATATCGCGCGACAGCAAAAATATTGTCACTATTTGTTAATCGAATCGTAACCCTCTCTCACACGCAATTTATGCCATCACTTGCTCGAAGCACATCTGTTACAAAATTTTTATACAATTTCATATAATTTCTCTTTTCGCAAATTCCATTTTGTTTTCCGCGGAAAATCAACAATCACGTGGACCCACACATTTTCTTAATTATACATCGATATGTACAAAAGTTAGAAAAATCTGTATTTACCAACGTACGTTCTATTAATAGTAGCTATAAGAAGTAACGTGAATACTTGACGCGCTTAATTCTTAATATAAAAAAAAAAAACACAAAAGGAGGAAAAGTTAGAGAATGCTTTGACGTTCGCTAATCATTGAACTCGACGATATAATACATGATCGGTAATTCAATTTCGCTCTCGACGAACCTCGGCTATAAAAAATATATATTTTTACATGATTTGCTAATATCGGTTGCAAGAAATGGCGTCGTACGAATTTCGTGACAATATTCCTACCGTGGTTAGGCGAATCTCTACGAAACGAGAGGCACAAGATCCAAGCAGGATAAATTCACAGTTCGATAAAAGAGCCTCGACACTTGGATCCACGCCATTCGGAGAATTCCTTTACCCGGACGAAGCGATTTACGCGTGAATTTTCAGAGGTAGCATGCAGTCAGTTGGAAACTGGATACTCGGGATGGTGTTGAATGAAAATTCGTGAAACGTGCGAAATTCTAAAGAAACAATCGCTGCATCTAATAGCCGCGCGATAGTTACAGGACGTGATATTTGAATACTGATATTTCGAGTATCGACTGAAAGCTACATCCGAAAACTAGCGCGTAAGTCGCCTCGCCTGAACAATGCCTTAACAAACACAAGCCACGTCCCTTTCCCACTCGATGCAAAAAGGAACATCACTCGATCGATTCCCAAGCCAACGGCGTTTTAAATCGCATCCTCCCTGAATTCACTGGCATTCGTCGAACGTTCCTTCTACCGACGCATGATGTCCGCGATGGTGAACCCTTGCCTGGCAGGAGCTGGCCTAGGTGGCGGCGGAGGTTGAGGAGTAGGCGCTCTTGGAGGACGAGGCACCTCTTCCTCTCGTTCTCGTTCGCGTTCCCTCTCCCTGCTGTGCTCGATCTCCCGTTCCCGTTCTCTCTCGCGTTCCTGCAGCTCGAGGAGCACCCTCGAAGGACCCGGCGAACCGATTCTCCGTCTGTAGGAGGTCAGTATCAACGGCGGCGGTGGTGGATGAGCAGGTGGTGGATTCTGGGCGACGGAATGACCGATCCCGCCGCTGGTCACCGTGGACGGCTTCGCGGCGGGCAGCAAGTCTCTTCTGATCTGCAGCTGAGGTCTCTGAGGCAGGGAAGACGCTGGAGTTGGAGGTGTCTGCGTCTGGCTGGAGGATCCTTGGGATTGGTACGCTGAGTTCGTCGTGGCGGCTGTCAGAGAAGAATTCGCGGACGTGGAGGTCGAGGACGACGAGCCAGCCTCCGGTCCGTCCTCTTCGGGGCTGTCGTCGTCCCTGAGGGCTTCCTCGAGGGCCTCGGGCGGCACGTCGCCCACCGCGTGCGTCAACGCGTGCCGCCTCAGATCGCAGTTCCTGCGGAAGACCTTGCCGCAGGAGGTGCATTCGTACGGCTTGTGGTCCGTGTGGGTGAGCAGGTGTGTCTTCAGGTTGCTGCGCTGGTTGAAGCTCCTGGCGCACACGGGACACTTGTGGGGGGACTCCTCCATGTGCAAGATCTTGTGCACCGCCAGCGTGCGGCTCTGGCAGAAACCCTTGCCGCACTCGCCGCACTTGAACGGCTTCTCTTTGCTGTGGATGTACCTGGAATCCGAGAGGGGAAATTAGCGGTGCTGCGACGAGAAGATATACTTGCAAAGGAATGTATACATCGGTAGTTACGAAATATAAAATGCTGTCAATCTTCATAATTCATAGGACGAGGGTAAAGAGGGATCGGATTAGAAAGGGAAATTGGCAATGGTGAGAAGAAATAGTTGTAAAGGGTAGTATATATCGGTAGCTATGGAATACGAATTACCGGGGACGTCTCGAATAATTTACAGAGTACACTACCCAGGACAGACCACATTTTGCCTCCAAAAGATTAACCCTGGGACCACTGCCCTATTTAGAAAGAGTTTACAACTTGGAAGAGGATTTCCTACGATAATATGTATCGACGTTAACTATCGTGCTCTCGAAAGCTCTGCACGTTTCCCTAGATCGAGTACTGCAATCGGTTCGAACGATTAAACCCGTGCCCATTCACTCCGCGCCATCGTTCTCGATGAACAACGTAAATTACCTATGATCCCTGAGGTGATCCTGCCTCCTGAAAGCCTTGCCACAGATGTCGCAAGAATACGGCCTCTCGTCCGTGTGGGTTCTCTCGTGGATCAAGAGATTGTAGCTCTTGGTGAACTGCCGATTGCAAAACTTGCAGATGAACTGTTTCTTGGGCCTGGAGGCTCTTCCAGGAGCCCTCAGCAGTCTTCTGTCCAGGTGCTGATGGGCCAGAGGGCCGCCAGGTGGGTAGAGAGCCGATCCGGCTGGGAACGGACCGGCGAACACGGGATATCCAGGGGGTGGCTCCAAGAGGGGCGGCGGAGGCAGAAGGAGAGCTCTCGCGGCTAACTCCTTCCTCTTGTCGGCCATCATCGCCATGATCTCGTAGCTGGAGGAGGACTTTCTGGCGACGGAAGGCTCCGCGCCCACCTCGTGCTCCGAATTCGACGTCGACGACGAGGACGGGGGAGGACCTGTCAGGTGGGGATGCATTTCCCCGGGATAGGGCGCCAGGTGCAGCCTGGATGGCACGACTGGCACGAACGCTGACGATTCGCGATGATGGGGGTGACCCAGACCCGCCACCAGGCTGTGTCGATGATGGTGATAAGCGGCCAGGGCGCTGGATGGGTCGAAGCCTCTGGAGGTCGACTGCGCCCCTGAACCCGAGGACGAGGAGGCTGAAGAGGCGGCTGACCTTGACGACGGCCCAAGGCTCAGGTCTCGACCTCTGCTGGTCTCTTCCGAGACCGTGGCCGAGGCCGAGGCCGACGAAACCACGATGTCCGTCGGCATACCGATGACACCTGCAATTCAGACGATGACGATTGGTGATACTCTGGTAGCTCGTGGCTCGTAGCGAGCCATCTGGACTTGCGGGTAGCTTCTTCAGGAGTCAAACGGGACACCGATACGAGCGCAGACGTAATCTAAACGGTGGTATATCGGAAGATATCCCTCGATAGCTTATGGTAAAAGGTTGAAAATATTGAAAATGCTTGTTTCGTATTTAACCGAGTAGTTTATGCTCCGATGTAATCCGGACTTAAGTTATCTACGAGATACCTAGGCATGACTCTGTAACTATTATTAAAAATTGCGAAGTTGATCCATCGTAGAAATTTTTTGATTCAGGATCTACTTTGGCACCGATTTTACCGGGATAGACGTATCGTATCAGTGTGCCAGTCGACCCTCGAGGAAGCTAGGACGCAACCGGATGCCTTGATTGGTATTAACTGTAAAGAACCAGATCGTAAAAGCCTCGAATATCGGTTCCAGTAGCTTTCGGCCTAACTATGGAACTACTTTTATTCGGACATTTCTTTGTATTAAAAAGGGAGAATATTATCGTAGCCTGCGTAAGATCGAAGAAGTCGCTTATTTAAATATTTTTCCACTGTCATTTATTTATATCACGTCTAGCCTGGGGGAAATTTAAAATATCCGAAGTGGAAATCCCACGAGCGATATCTGAAGTATCGTGATTATTAGCATCAAAGTTACTTTCACGTTCTTGCAAAACGGTAACGTGTACCTCGATTACGAAACGCCTTGGAAACGCGATTCAAGGACTACGGCAGAGTTTACAACGCTCCTAAATCCTCGTTTAATCTACCAATCCATTCGAATAAAAAGGAACCAAACGGTTCGTTGCAGAGGTAATAATAATAAGAACAATGAGTGCTAACATTCTCGCGTACAATTATCCTTTGGGTACTACAAATCTATTTGACAAGGCTAAACGTATCCGCCATCTTGGTACTAGCGCGAGTCACCCGTTAAACTCGTGTTATTTTCAAGCGATAAATACCAGGATATTTTAATAGCATTTTTATTTACTGTCAACATTGTTGAAAAGTTGTTTTGAACCTTCACGTGTCTCGAACACTAGAGGCAAGTCAAATCACCGAATTTTACTATTTGTATTAATTTATTTTAGTACTTTCCTTTATAACTCAAAATCTAATTTTAATTTTAGACTGCGTTTAATTTCATAGAAAAATTCATATTTTTACTATAATATCAGCCACGTGTCCTACTTTCATAGGTTACCGTTTATGATTGATAAACTAGTAATCGTCTTTGATGGAAGTTTTTAGTAGGAAACTTGTAAAGCGTTGTACGATAAAGTTTATCAGTGAAACGATAAAACATAACGTGTTGTATCATTTTATTATACTTGCCGCGAGATACACCGTAGAAAAGCGAGAATAAAATATTAATAGCGCGAGCACAAAAAGGTCAATAGGAACTGTATAAGCACCGACAGACAAAATTTTTCGTTGATTTTTGGCAGCTACGGTCAATTTCGAAATGTCTAACATCGTAATCAGAAAAAGTACCTAAATAACTTTAAAAGGTTTGAGAGTCGATCGATCGACAGACCCCATAGGCATTGTATGGTTTCCTCGGACAACCCTCATGTAACAGTTAAAGGTTCTTGTTTGACGTGAAAAAAATGATTAAATATACCAGTTTATTTATTTCCATTTTTCTTGGTTAACGAAGTAAGAAGTCTTATATTAAGAAGTCTTCTCAGTTTGGACAACGACATTACTCGGAGCGATTAACCACGGGGCCCTGGTTAATCTACACACGCCACTGCCTCAGAAGTTCCATCGTAACTTGCTTGGAGAGGTTTGTTTACTCTTTTCATTCATCAATCTCCAACAAAAATTTCACAACGGATAGTTCGATATTCCTGTTCAGGTTAGCCCTTTGACTTTTCAAAAATGTCAACGCATTCTTTTCCTCTCCCTTATTGTGATTTCATCTGTTGTAATTTTCAAGAATCATATTCATCACTAATTCATCATTGATATCGTTTAAAAAGTGTCCAGATTTCCTCGAGATTTTACATGTATTTAAATATACAACGATATCACTCGCAATTACTTCAGATAATTATAAAATAAAATAATATCCCAAACGACGTTATTTTAAAAGTGTTCGCATTTATGATAACACTTGAAAAACAATACAACGCGTTATTAAAAACAATCCACGAAACGATACCATTTAAAAACCGCCCACGGCTGCCCTACGGCTTCGACCACTCGTAATTTCCATTGAGCGCACCTAATCAGCCCAGGAGCCTGTACGCGGTACAACCACCGAAGGAACCCTCACTCCGAAAAACCACGAAAAATCGCGGAAAATTCATGGCAACAGAAGCGTATCCACGATTCCTCGATAATACGTGGAACCCGTTCCAGTTCGCCAGCCGCGTGCGTTCCACGAACGTGAACTGGTTATCTCGAGTCGAGCACACCTGCCAACATGGCTTCCGCGGACCCAGCGGTCACGGCTAGTCCCAACGGCCATGTTGAAATCGCGAATGCCCAACAGGAATGCACCTCGAACGTGGGCCCCGTTCGTTTTCCCCGTATCCCGCACGAAAACCGCCAGACGAGACCGATCCTCGATGAAAATGCTCACCAGGTGTACGCCGGCCAAGGAACGTTCCCAGATCACGCGTTTATTATTCTCGAACGGTCCACCCGTCGCATCTCCCACGGCGATTCTCGATCCTTGTCCAGCGATGGATCGTCGACGTCGCTGACGATAGGAATGCCGCTTAAAGAACGGCTACATCGAGTCCTCGGCGACTCGAATTCCTTCTTATCGTGGAAACAACCTATCGGGGCACCCACGTAAGCACACATACACTGGATTCCACCACTGGCGACACTGAGAAACCCACTCGAGCTCGATCGCGGAGGATCCACCGTTTCGGTGGGCTCGATCGCTCCCAGGAGCGATCCTACTGCCTGGATCGCGGCACGTCGCTCAACACTGTCACGTATTCGAGCTTCCTGGACGGAGATCGTCGAAACAACGCGATAGAAAACCGTGGACGGCCGTTCCCTTCTTTCTGGATCGTGGATACCAAAGAGCGCGCGGTTTACTGCGTGTCGGACGCCGCCAGGTAGGCTACCTCGGCGCACACCCACGCAGACCGTGGCACACGCATGGTCCACACGCACATGGTCACACAGGTAAAAACGACCACGGACTCTTGCCTGGGAGTCTTTCTGTACGGCTGCCGCTAGTAGCGCTGCTGCTGGATGCTGTGCTCAGAGTGGCTCGCTCCTGGCCGTCGACGGTGCGACAGAATCCGACGGTGCCCAGCCAATCGGAGTAAGACCGAGACGGAACGAGAACCTGGAGCACAGGGCTCTAGAGATGGGACTGACAACCTCGCAATACCGTGTCCCTGATGGAACAAGTTTCTCCGCGGTGGGTTAACCCGAGACGTTTGACGGGCAACCGTGACGCTCGAACGGAGGAGGGAGCGATGCTCTTATCTGGATCAAAATTTCGACGTGTTTGTTGGGATTTTTTTATCGGGCAGAATAGACTGGGTTCGCGTGTAAATTATTTCGAACGGGAACTTTCGGGAAGATTTATTTCTTCGGGAGGATCCGGAGAACGCACGCTTTTTACGCGATGTTGCCTAATGGATCATTTCGAATGACGCGTTATTTTCTTTTGTAATTGTTTTCATGTCTGAGTGCTATCGAGGAATTATTGATACTTCTTTTGGCGTGAATTTTGGGGGAATTTTTCATACCTGTAAATACTTTCGAAGGAGTATTGTTTATTGAAGGAGTATTGAAGGAGTATTGAATTATTATTTTGTAGTTATTTGGAGTAGTAAATGACGTTGTTCATCAAAGAATATTCTGTTCAAAATAACTCTCCTTATTCTGTCCTAGCGAGTACGATGTATGGTCGAGCGTTGAGTTCTTTTATGTCACGAGCAAAAGTAGCCCTGAGACGACTGAGATTGAGTGACTTTGGGCCCAAGTCTCCGAGGACCTACTGCACCGTTTGACACCTGAGTCACTGTGTATATTAGAACGGTGTAAAGCTTCCCACAAACGTTTTTCGTGCTAGCGCTTAACGTGGAAAGAATGCACGAGGAAAAAGGGCAAAATATAACGAATACGTTAAAAACTCGTTGAAATTAATTTCTGAACAAAACACGAAAAACACAAATTAACCGTTTCCGACGTAACTCTTTCTACTTCTACAAAATAGAATGCGGTTTGTCAAAGTCGATAGCCTCCCTCGCCATCGCGCTAATCTAATCTGAATTGTAAAAGTATGCTTTAATCGAAGTCGTCAGTCTAACGGGAAACACGGGAAGCGAGTAATACCAGGCGTTAGATTCGCGTTTACATTCTAGGGAAGCGAGGCGCGATTAATAAAGCGCGGCGGAATTAGATAAGTCTTCTATTTCTGGAAATGTCCAAGATAATAGTCTACCAAGAAATCGGATGCATTAATGCGTTTTACGTTGTACGTCTAATCATCGAAATATTTATTGTCCGCTACTGTTCGCTACACCTCCATAGGTCTGATTCCCTACATTTTACTTTAAGCGTCAATTAACGCCAGGTTAAAACTCGCGGAGGCTTCTACAGGATTAAAATTTGTTTTCAACTCTATCGAAGATTAGATAACTTAAGATTCGTCGTAGTAGTTAATTTTGTTCATCGCCGCCAAATTCACGACACTTATACAGATTTATTTTCGCTATCGCCTCACCTTCGGCATTCATTTTTTTAGTGGCTTAACGAGCCATTTGGTCGATGATTGGAGCTCTAATCGAGTTCGAGCCCATCGCTAACAGAGACGTAGAGCAAAGGGGACCAGAAACGAGGGAGGGAGATCCGCGGGTATTCTATCTACCAGTACCTACGATGCGATGCCGCGCAGGTTGAACGCAGAAGGTTTAGGTAGGGACGTGGTATGAGGAACAGGTGCGTAATACTAAGGTTCCGTGCCCCCCTCCAGCGTTCGATAAACGCTGCCTACGAATCGTCCTCCTTTACAAACTAGAGTCGTTCGTCGCCTCTTTGCTTGGTCTCCACCGAAATCGTCGTTTCGATTTCATCGTCATCTAGCTTCAATTTTCCCAGTAAGAATCTTTCGCTAGAGACACTTACACACCTGGCCGAGTCCATTCAAAGGATCCACCGCGTCCCAAGTCGTCGTTTCCCGTTTCGTTTGCGTTTCCATCCCCCTTCTGTGACACCTGAGACTCCGGAGGTAGCGGCACCGACTGAATGCGTTATTTATTAGGTACTTGCGCGCTTTGGGTCTCGCTATCAAGCGAATTTTTGTTTGGCACACCGCCCACGCGTCGAGGCGATTACCTGCCCGCTGAGACTCGAATTTAGAAACTAAACGAACAACGAGCGAGTAGCCAACATTAATTATCCAAGTCAATTATTTTTATTTTATTTTTATTTTATGTGTACACCATGTTCCCATTCACTTCTTCGTCCTACTTGAATGGAAAACTTGACGCGCAGCATCTTTGATAAATTTGCCTGATCTCCACCTGTACGATCGCCTCGAACGTCACCCCAGTCCGAAGGGTTGAAATTCCAGTAGCTCCACGAATCACCCTTAATAAGAATCTATTTTCTTCCTCCTTTACTGAAAATTCTGTCCCTTACTGGATACCATATTTTCATTTGCTTTTCATTTTCAACAAATTTGCCTAATTTTCACCTGTACAACTACTTTTCACCTCAGAAGGCGTAACACCAGTCCAAAGGGTTGAAATTCCAGCAGCTCCATCTATTTCCTCCCTTACTCACAATCGTGTCCCCATACAACGATACTACCCCTTCTCTTTCCACGTAAAGAGATACGTAAATTTCATTGCATATACCACATTTGTCTAATCTTCACCAGTACAACCACCTCTCGAACAATGTCATCCCATTCCAAAGGGTTAAAATACCGATAGCTCCCCCAGAATCGCACACTGTCTATTTTTGTGGTCTCTCGCCAAAAATTGTATCCCCCATAGAAAAATTCCGTCCAAGTTTGGTAGAAGGTGAAAAATCGTGGGGCAGGTTGTAGGTCCACCTGTGGGGATCTCGTCCGGCGCCGGCACTGAAGAAGGAGATCGGCTGGTGGGCGGCAAGGGGAGAGCCAAGCGGCCAGAGGCACTCGGAGAGATCGAGCCTCGATCTTTCCTCTCCTTCCACTTTCCCGTGGTTTCACCCTCTCTTTTTCTCCATTGTCCAAGATCCCTGTCCCTCTCCCTTCCCAGCTGTGTTTTCTTTTTCTTTCTTTCCGTCTCTTTCCGCCGCGCCGCGTCGGCCAGCAGCCGCCGACGCCCAGCCGGTTTTACACCGACGGAATCGATTCAATCGAGTGTCTCGAAGGAACGAGGGCCTGAGTGGTGGGCACCGCGGATATATCGCGGATTTCCCTCCACTTGCCTAGAACAATCTGTCGTAATTGTTCGCCTCCCTCCCTCCCTCCCCCTCCCCCCCCTCCCCCCCTCGAAACTCCGATACGACGATTTTAGGGGGACTTTTTCCAGGCAACGAAATCGACGTAGGCTTTTCAAATATGTTTAGTTATATATCGTAACTTGTACCGATTTTTCTAAATGGAACCTTACCCATTTATATCTATCTATATAAATGGCATTTATTTAGACAAATTTAGACACGGTCGTTCATCCTAATACGAAGTCTTAAATCGAAGTGCGGAGTCGATAGATGAACTTCCGTTCAAGACTCTGTTAAATTCAGGACACATTTCGTGGACACTGTAAACCGCAAAAACCTTGAAGAAATTTCCAGTCTACCCGATTTTTAAGCTCCACGGTCAAATCCGTTCCGATAATTCTCGCTCACGTTGGACACGGAACTTAGCGAAAGTTCGTGATAGAAAAGCGAATTTCGTTGAAAATAAATAGCATCGGGCGAATCGTGCCCCGATTTTGCAGTCACGAAGTGGAAGAATATCGAACGGAGCAGAAGTCAGGCGTTATTTGCGCTTTCACGTGGGGCAGAACAGAAATTCACGGTACATTGAAGTAGTTGATGAACACCGATAGAACGTCAATAGGAGGTTTGTTTCATCGACGAGAAAAAGAATGGCCAGGCCGGCAGCGCGTCTATGGCGTCCGAGAAGATCGATGCGCGAGGAATTTGTTTTAATATTCATGCCAGGAGGTCAACGCGATGGACGATCTATCGATCGGTATTCGAGAACGCGTCTATTGACGTCTGGGAATGCCCATTCGCGAACTGGTTTCGAGGGCGATTTTTTAAAGAGAGTAGAAAGCAAGGCAAAAAGGAAAACCTTATGATAGTTGAGACACAAAGCGATCCGTTCTTGCATAAGTAATGCCGGCACCGCTTCGAATCGAACGATCTAGCGAACGAAACTGTCCGAAACAACTCGGGGTTATGTATTACTTTAGCAGGCAAGAAAATGACGAAAACTGGCTCGAAACTGGTAAAAATAAAAGGATCGCCCCTCGAAGACAAGGAAGATCCGAGTGGAGATGATCGATAGAGTGTCGAGAAAGCGATGAACGATCGTGGGCGTTTCCGAGCGTAAATGGTCCGGGAGTTTTCCGTCGTTTGCGCCATAAGCTTCGCTCGTGGGTCAACGTCTACCTGCAGGTGTATTTGTATTCACGGGACGACGACACGCGGTCGGGTGCACCGTCGTGTAAACGCTGTAGGTACCTGCCAATGCGGACGAATCAGCTGCGGAGGAAGTTTTTTATGCACCATCTCTGAGAGATAATGTAGTCGTTTTTTTCACTGGTCTTCTTATTGCTCAATGCGCCGCCAAAGACCGGTTACGATGAAATCGTAACGAAAAATTATTCGTGAGGTAGCGCTTTTTAATAATTATCAGCCACTGGAAAATATTCGTGATTTTTAAAATACAATTCGATTATTCGTAACTCTTTTAAAACGTTGTTTCGTTTAACGAAGCATTTATTTGCACAACTGTTTTCCATCGTTCTACGAGCTTGTACATTCCTTTTTCTTTAATGAAAGTATCGAGTTTTATTCGTTACAAACGAATTAATCCATTATTTTTTAACTAGAAAATATACAAGAAACGAAATTTCGACTAAACGTATTTCCTAAATACTCGGTAGCGCGACTTTGTCGTTCGATGTTACTGTTATAAATTAAAGTCGCGAGATTGCGACGGAAGATATTAATCAGTCTTATCCTGTACGGATGCAAACGAAATCAAAAAGTGTTGTCCAGTAACCCATGGACATGACAGCAGCGAGCCATGAATAATGTGAGCGCTTGCCAAACAGCTTCTAGATTTCCTTCGACGTGTACATCACGGTTATACGCTGTAGAACTTACATCCGATA